GGGGGGGGGGGGGGGGGGGGAGGGGGGTGGTAAGAGAAAAAATTCCCCCAAATTTTTTTTTCCCGGGGGGGGGGGGGGGGGGGCCCGGCCCGCCGCCCGCCCGGCCGGGGGGGGGCCCCCAAAAGTTTTTTCAAAATAAGGGGGGGGTTTTCAGGGGGGAACCCACCCGGGTTTTGCCCCCCAAATTTTCAAATTTTTCCCGGGTTTAAAAAACCCCCGGGTTACCAAATTGGTTCTTTTTTCAGGTTGGGGCCCAAAAAAACCTGCCAGGCCCCCCCCCCCCCCCCCCCCTTCACACCACGGCACGTGCTGAAAACAAATCTAAGGTGCAAGGGGAGCGGCTGGGCAGGGCCGTCGAACTGGCCGAGGAGCTCGGCGTGGAGCTTCCCCCAAGGTTCGCCGAGAAGGGGCGCTTCAAGTTCGCCATCAACGAGCTGGACGCGTGGGCGATGGTCGGCGGGACGGCGAGGAACGACGCGGAGCACGCGGTGGTCTGCGGGAGGAAGGTCATCCCGGCCGGGGAGCCCGGGGAGGGTTTTGTGCGTGTGGCGTTCAACATGAGGTGGGGGTGGCAAGACGACCGGCGGGTGTGAGGCGATGAGGCGTCCTGCGTGCTTTACCGGGAGGAAGTGCTGTGAGCACCGCGAGAATGTCGTCGCCGGGAGCGAGACCTTGCATGCTGCAGAAGGAGGCATGATGATATGGCGACGTCGTCGTTGTCGGGAGGGAGACCTGCATGCTACCGGGAGGAGGCGTTTTAAGCATCTCGAAGCCGTCGGTTCTCGTCGGGAGGGAGACTTGCATGCTACCAGGAGGACGCGTGGTGAGCACCTCGAAGCCGTCGTTCTCATCGGGAGCGAGTCTTGCTGTGGTGGCGATTGATGCTGTGGAGAAACGGCGACGTTGGGCGGGAGGGATGATTGGTGAACAACAGAGAGAGAAGAAAACCAGAGAACAACCCTTATGGCATGGATGATTCAGTTTAACATGAATTCACTGGGGTCCACAACGGGGTTCAAGACAGCGGGGCCCCTTCTCCAACCGCGGCAGCGATGGCGAGGTGTTCTCGGATGGTAGGCGGGACCGACGAGGTATGTGTGGACGTTGTGCCCTTGAGCGGTGTAGATGTGCCTGCGGTTGGATGGCCCACAACAATTGCGACTGTGGTGGCCTACATTCACATAACAGCGGAAAATATCCCACGCCCCGGCGACAGCGCTGAGTGTTTGGAAACGCCAGCTCTGGTACCGCTCTGTGTGGGGTATCCGATATCTCAAGGGAGCTACGGTATCTGAAGCGATCTGTAGCGCATGCACTTGTTTTTCTGGTACTACTGCGATTTGCTGCGGAGTGATGGGATGATGAGATCTACATAGTGTTGGCAGACCGTGGATTTTGAGATCGCATGCACATTCTTGTTGGTTTGGGTTCTCGCGCTGGTGATCGATCAGCTCCATCTGCCCTGGGTTTGGGGCTAGGGTAACGGGAGAACCTTTTTGCTGCATGGGTGGGAAAGCCGAACGTGCAATATTTTTTAGTCGCCCGATACGCGGTGGTTGTGTTTCATTCTGCCCGCCGGATGCTGGCCAGGACGCTGCTAACCCTTGTACGTCAAGAAGACGCTTGCTCTATGAATATCTTTGCTTCTCGAGCACCTATGCCCCCCCCACCCCTCGCTGCAATTCGGCGGGCGTTGTGTGTTCGGCGCGTGGTACTCTTCAAAGTAGTTGCTTTCATGCGCATTCCTTGCCGACAACGCTGCTACAGTAGTTCCTGCCGGGTACAACAGCGTGGCCGCCTGGGCCGAGCGGGATGTCGCATCTTATGAGAAAAATGACGTGGTACAAAATCGTGAGGGTGTGACATATTTCTCTTTCGTGGGGGCTGCGTTGTGTTCGTTGAGCGCATAATAGTGTGTACTTCATGTCGTGTTGCTGCTGCCGGCGAAGGTCTTTTCGTTTTGGCGCGTTTGACGAAGCTCTGCCTACGATTCTTGCGAGGAGTACGGATGACCGTTCTCTCAGCTCCTTGCGGGACTTGTTGGCGAGGCGCTGGCCAAACGATCGCTGCCCTTGCCTGTCAGCACCTCTTCGACAACACTTGTATATTTTCTTCCCGGGCAGAG